GAGGAATTGAAAATACTAACCAAACTATGGCGCATCATGAGGATAAACAACATGATATTGGTATTTTATTCATAATCTTGATTCTTCTCAATATTAAAAGCTAATTGTGGTGTTGTCAAGGGATTTTGGCTATAACTGTACAGAATTCTGAGCAATTGAACAACACATGTCTCATGTGTATGTATTTATCTCTTTATTTCTTTAAGCTTTAAGAATTCATTATGGTACTTCATAACAAATTTGCTCTAGATTCACATGGATATATCTACTTTGTAATAAATTTTATGTACTTGATGTTATCCATGATTTATTTAATACGGTTAGTAATCAATTTAAGACTTTTGTTAAAGTAATTAGATCCGATAATGCTAAAGACGTGGCCTTCACTGGTTTTCTATATGAAAAGGGAGTTGTGCATCAATTTTTTTATGTAGATACACCATGACATAATTCTGTAGTTGAACAAAAGCATCAGTATTTATTAAATTATGCTTGAGCTCTTTATTTTCAATTTAAGATTCCAATTTGTTTATAAACTAAATGCATTTTTACTATAGTATTTTTTATTATTAGAACTCTCATGTCTTTTATATATAGTAAATTCTCATATGAACCATTGTATAATAAATTTGTGGATTATTTTTATTTTTGAGTTTGTGGTTGTTTAGCTTTTACTTTAACTTTGTTGAATTATATAACCAAATATGATCCAAGAGCTAAAATATGTGTTTTTCCTGGATTTTCAAAGGAGGTGAAAGGGTATAAATTATTTGTTTTCAAATAAAACAAATCTTTGTTTCAAAAGATGTAATTTATCATGAAAATTATTTCCCTTTTCAAATTCTTGTGAAGATGTTTGGGTAGATAATTTTTCAAATCTAGCTTTAAGTAAGAATGTAAATGATTTCTTATTACTTGTCAATCACTTGGTAGAAACTAGTAACCATAATTGGTCTTCTTCATGATACAAACAACAAAAATAATGCACCATCTAGGAAGCAAGATTGTTCGTGAGACAATCTTCCATATCAGTACATGTCTCTTCTTATTTGGAAGATTATCGTTGTAATTTTATTTTACAAAGATCATCTGAAATTTTTAAATTTTCTACTTTATATCAATTATCTTATCATCTTAGGTATAACCATCTTTCTTTATCAACCAAAACTTTTGTCATGGCAGTAATTAACAATTTGGAGTCTCAATCTTACAAGCAAGCAATTACTAATTCTCATTGGTATAAAACCATGAAAGCTAAATTACAAGTTATAAAAGACTTATTGAATGGCTCTTATATCTTGTGCTTCCTCGGCCAAATATTGCTTATGTTGTTCGTAGGTTGAGTCAATATATTTTTCAATCTAGGATTCCTCATCTTCTATTGTCCATCATCTTCTCCGCCATTTAAAATTAAACTGGGGCCAAGGTATACCTTTCTCGTCCATAAATTTGTTAAAACTTAGAGTATTTGTTTATACAGATTGGGCAACTTGCTTAGATTTTCAAATATCTATTTCTAAGTTTTTCATTTTCCTCACTACTCACTATTATCTTGGGAAATCAAAAATTGATCTATGCTTCACATTCAACTATTGAGATCGAATATAGAAGTATGACTTCTACAATGAGTGAATGAATAAGGATTTACTAACTACTTTAAGATTTTAAAGTAGATATTTCTTCTCCTGCACTTCTTTTTTGTGATAACCACACTACAATTCATATTGAATCTAATTTAGTTTTTCATAAATATGGTAAACACATTGAAATAAATTATCATTTTATTATAGATCAGATTCGCATGGGATCATCAAGCTCATGCTTGTCTATTCTCAATATCAACTTACAAATATATTTACCAAAATTCTATATTCTATTCTTTTACTTTTCATATGATCGAAGATGACTGTTAAAAGTATATATTAATGAGGAAAATTACAGGACAGTTTAATTTTGTATGTTATTTAATTTCCATGTCTATGTGGTTGTATATAAACTAATGTGTATTGTCTTAGAGAAATTAGTAAAAGAATATTCCTTTTCTTTTAAGCAATAACAACTTAAGTTGAAAAATGCAAACAAAGCTTAGAAAAAAACAAAAGCCACCATACAAGGAACCTTACCCTCCAAGAGAACAGCTTAACAACTAATATATCTAAATTTCTTAAGCTTAATACTGCAACCTTTAAAATTTTTTGAATTCAGTTCTTCATAAAATTGCCTGATTTATACCCAATTGGAAGGACATTATTGTATAATTGCTCAAATCTCTCTAGCAAAGCAACTAATTCTTTAATCCTAATGACATTTTGATTATGAAACTGGCATTAAAAATCATTAAATTATTTTGTATGGCAACACAGTTTGTGTATATATATATATATATGGAGATCATAATTATTAGAAATAAATGCTAAAAAAATCTCAAGTGACGTTTTAAAATAATGATAAATAATGTAATAATTTATTTTTGATAATTATTGTCATATTTACATAACATTTTTTTGTCTGTAATTATTGCATCGATAGGATTGAATTAGATTATACTATACTGAAATACAATAACACAAATCATCAATAAATATATATATATACACACACACACATATGAAAAAGGGTGATCACGTTCTTACTTTAACGAAAATGATTGTGATGAATACATTTTATTGAGGGTCTCTCGTACGATTTATTTTGATGGGACTCAGAACCAATTTTTTCTGTTGAATTAATTTAAGCATTAAATATAACAATAATTAGAAATCAGAATTGATTGTAAATGTATGTATGTTGGCCAAAAAATATGACTCATAATTTTTTCCAAAAAAAGTTTTATATTATTATTTGTAATTATTTTGATATTACTTATTTAACATGTAAAAAAATTAATTTTTTTTTTACTTTAAACTTTCACTTGACATCATTTTCTTAACATGCAATTTTCTATATAGGTATAAATATAGAAATAGTCAACATATATAGATCAAAGTTATTAAACAAAGCATTAAAATCTCTTTAAAAAAGTATGTAATATTTTATTTGATTGCTTAATATACCAAGTCAACTATAGCATATTTATAAATGGGTCCCTGTGTTTTTACAATAAAAATAGAGTAACATATATATATATATATATATATATATATATATATATAGGAGTCAACTTCAGTATGTAATTCTTGAAAACGACTCTTATCTGTGAACTAATAGAATAGACCCCACTTTGTCCGTAAGCTACTTCCAAATCAAATAATTAATTATACAAAAATAAGACAGCAATGATAATTAGTTACTACCATGACAGAGATGCATGCATCTCCATGCATTAAATAATATTTTGATAAACAGTTATCTGTAATTAGGGAGATATATATATATATATATATATATATATGACATATAGTTTTCTTATAATTCTATATTTTTCCAAAAGTTATACGTAAGTTATTCAAACATTGTGATCAAATACAAAGAAGTTTCATTGATATATTGACTCTACTTGATGAGATAGCTAAATTAGAAGCCACGTTTCTCATCTTATATATGTATACATATTTATTATTTACAGATTATGTATTTTTTTTTTGTGTGTTTGAATCAATATAGAGTGTAGTGCGGATTACAGATTAAGGAAAAATGTCTTGGCACATACATGTCTATTTCCATGACATAAGGAATTATTACTTGTTTTTGTCAATTTCCTTCCCTGGGCTACACAAGATAAGATGGTGTCATACCTCAAGTTTATCCTGATATTTTATTTTATTTACTTTTATTGGAAAAATTAATTTAAAAAATGAATTTCATTAAATAAATTCATAAAAAATCGAATTAACCTCCCAACCCAAGCCCATCTCTTCCTTTGTTCTAGATTTAAATTATAGCCCTAAACAATTTCCTTTCTTTCTTCTTGGGCCCCATTTTATTAAATTCTTGGTGCAAACGACACCGTTATGAGCAAATGCTTGGAATGCATATGCATCTGGTTTCTTTACAACAGAGAAGTAGAGCGTCGGGTGAAGGAGACGCAATCTCCTGAGAATACTAGGATGCTCTTTCTATATTAACATTTTTTTTATTAAAAAAATAAATAAATAATTACACATATTAAAATTAACAAATTCTATATTTCATATTTGTTTTAAAATTTTGATTATTATTCGATAAAATTTAATTCATGAGTTGGGAAAATTAGAAAGAGGTGTAATTTTTATTTGACATAAAAGTGTATATTTGGTTATATGGTTTGGCACGGGACTGAATCAGACGCTCACACTGTAAGGTCTGCTACATTATTTTTAATGCAAAAAAATTTGTTCACCGTATTGCCAGATAAGTATACCTACACTTAACAATGTCAAGACAGATGCAGAGACTGCATCTCCTCTGTAAATCACATTGATCGCCAGTAAAGTCCAAATCAATCACAAACTGGAGTTGTTGCTCAAATGGTATAATATAGAGCTAATGGTTTGAATTTGAATCCTAGCAAACTCTGTTCAAAAAAATTATTTATTAATGAAATAAATCATATTGTCAAATGTAATTATTCTTTCATAATATTTCCATCATTTCTTGTACAAACAATTACCCAAAAGGTAAACACATGCTTGCTAATTCATTAATTAAAGCAAGAAGAGATTGAGACAGAAGAAAAGTCAATGTACAATGTGAAGATAAAAAAAAAAAAAAAAAAAAAAAAAAAACTGAATCAAACTTCATCTGCTGGTAGAATACATAATATTCGCTTACAGCTTCAGGCAGTTGAAAGGCTCCAAACATTTGCACCCAATTGTTGTAATGCTTGTCATGATCTACTATGGAAGTTCTAGTTATCAGTCATTCTTCTTGAAAGAAGTGAATTTTCTAGCAGCATCAGATTTCAATTTGCATCCCAATGTGAGGACATTCAAGACCATAGCATCAATTTCTTGCTCTTTTTTCTCGTACAAGTAGAAGCCTAAAAACGCAATCGGAAATCCTGCATTATTATGCACCCACACACACCTCTCATTAATTCTAAAGAATTAAATCAAAGACAGTATGTAAGTCAATCAATTGGTGCAATGAAAAGAAAGTAGACAAAGCTGGCTGCAATAAGAAGAAAATAGACAAGGCAGGCAGGAAGAACCTCACCTCCGTACCAATGGCTCAGATAAGAGGGAAGATGGCGACATTAATAATTTATTGGGTAAACAAACCTGACACACAACTAGTGATATAGAACAAGAAGATTCTAATTTAGAATAAATTGTCTAGAAACATTTTAATTATATTGTTTATTATTATTCAGAATCCTCTATTTTTTTATTGAAAATTTAGTATCTTTAATTGATTTAACCTATTTAGGTAGACTTTTTAAGTTATTAAAAACTTAGGCTAGATGTTAAGCAATGGAATCCTTTGATTTCCTCTTTAATATTTTTTTTTGAAATAAAAAATAATAGCGGTTGCAATTGATTTCCTCTTCAATTATTTTAACTATTAACAATAAATAAGAGACAATGATGAACCGAAAATTCTTGAGCTAGGATTAGTACCAATTATCTCTTTTGTTTATTCTGCTTGTTATAACTTATCCTGTGCAGCCTACTACTTTTATATTTCTGTCACCTTAATCACCAAATTTCTCTCATCTTTCTCTATTTTTCTGTTTTTCACCAAGATTTCTTTTATTCTAAATTACCTCCACTACAAGATAGTATTGGAGCTACTTGCCCGACATTAGTTGGCTAAAATAATAATTTAGTTCCTATATTATTTATTTTTATTCAAATTAGTTCATATTTGGTTCAAATTAGTTTCTTTACTTTTAAATTTTTTTTAATTTAATCTCTCATGTTACTAATGGTTAACACTACTAATTAAAGTATCACATGTCAAATTTATCGACACATAACACCTTTTAATTACTTTATTTATAAGTTAAAGATCATGTTAAATGTCACGTGACATCTAACATGACATTAAAAAAATTTATGTGGACCGGTTTACACTAATCCCCAAATTAAACAAAAAGAACCATCTAATCCCTTAAACCTAATTTTCCCAAATCCCCAAGACACACCCCTACCTTTCTTCTTCTCCTTCTTACTCCTCCCATCGTCCCCCCTTCCTCCAAATTCAGGACCTTCACCATTCCATCCTCCGCCAACAGCGCATACCTCCTTCACTTGACCCCCAGTCCCACTAGTTTAACGCTTAAGTCTAGCTCGCACCTGATCTTCTTCATGAATTCCCTGTTCCATATGACAATAGCAACACCGTGTCGTTGATCCCTAGGTTCTCCTTCCATGCCTCCATTATGAATGCATTGTTCATAGAGACGCAGGCAATGGTGTCCACCCCACATCTGGGGGCATGTGGGGTTGAATGTGCCCAACACTGCGGATAAAAATGGCCTTGTTTCCAGCTGTGAGGGCAGAGACGATCATGGTTTGAAGTTCCCCAGATGAGTTAAAGTGGGAGAGAGTGGTGGAGGAGCTTGTCATCGACGGAGATGGCAGCAAAGACACCGGGGGATTTGGTTGAGAAAGAGCGGGGCTTAGATTGGCTACAGTGAGGGGAGATCTTGAGAGAGAGAGGAGAGAGGGAGAACCTAGATGAGAGAGACTTAAAGGAGACAAGGAAGGAAGCGGTCGCAGAGCAGGAGAAAGAGAGGGTGGGAAGAGGAAGAAGAAGGGTCAGGATGTGTCATGGGGATTTGGGAAAATTAGGGTAGGAATTTGATAGATTTTTTTTTAGCTTATGGACTAGTATGAGCCGATCTATATATAAATCTTTTAAATGTTATGTCAAATGCCTTACGTGATGACTTAATTAACAGTGTTAACAGTTAATAAGATTAAATCAAAATTTTTTTAAAACTATAAGGACTAATTTGAATTAAAATAAAAGTATAGACTAATTTCAACAAAAATAAATAGTACATAAACTAAATTATTATTAGCTTACATTAATTAGTACAAGCCCTCCTTTTTTTCCCCACCTTCTGCACATATAAGAAAGAGAGTCCAGTTTTCTATGTCATGCTATTAAGCAGAAAAAAAATCCTCTCTCCACAAAAAAAAAAAATTAAAAAAAAGTCAAGACCAGAAGCCGCAGGAAAAAAAAAGCAAATTTAGGCTGGAATACCAGCTGTCCTAACAGAATGTACCTAAGGTATTCCTTAAATAACTGCCTTAAATACCTGTCCTTGTGACTAAAGGAAGCATAAGAAATATCTAAACAAATTCCATTCTCTCTATTTATCTATCCTTCTTCCCCCTTTTCCCTCTATAGTCTTCTACTCTCTATTTCCCTCTTCTATCTCTTTTTCCCTTGACTATCATACTCAGGCCCATTGGCCAACTAATGAATCACAAGTCTGATAACTTGCTATTAGAGTCAACTGAACTTGGTGATGCACCCTCACCACTGGTGAAGCTGGCAAAGACAAAAGGAAGACAGTAGTGATGGACTCACAAAAGGTAGCCAGATTGAAGAATCCATAAAGAGCCTAGACCAATGGATGCAAGATTTTACGTCTGAAATATACAGCACCCTCGACTCTAAACTGGATGAAAACAGTGCTCAGCTACCAAACCTAAGAGCAAAAACCATATGCTCCTTAAGCATGAACCAACAACACACTACCACGTCCTTAAATCCCCCACCAACCACACCCCAAAAGCTAGCTTTTAATCACCCTATGCCTTCGAAAGGACTACTTCCCTCTCCAAAAGGGAAGGCGCCTGAAAGCTCCAGCCACACACAGCTACCCCACTAAGTGATTTTTCCTGTTCCCTTTAGGATGGTTCGAATCACTGGGGACCAATCTAAATAGTTCTTACCGTCAAAGCGATAGATTGCCTGGATTGATTAAAATTCGTGCTGAATTTTCCATGGGGAGATTTGTTCTAGTAATTTGAGACATAATCTCCAACAGGATTTTAAAAGTTTGAGCAATATATGCTGATTAAATAAACCAAATGGAGGAGATTACCAATTGGACAGCGGCTGTGGCGTGGCTGGGCAAAGAGGAGCAGTGGCGGCGCACAGGCGGCATGCAGTTGGGGTGATGCGGCTGCAGGGAGTAGCGGCTAAGGCTATGCGCTGCAAGAGATGGTGGTCACGGCTAGCACACGGATCACAGCTGGTTGCATGGCGGAGACGTGGTGGAGGGGCTGGAGCCAACAATAAAAGCCGATCTTCGTAGCTAGTGGTCGGTCTGTGGTGGCCAGCAGTTAGGGTTGTGGTGGCCGACAATATAGGCTACCCCCTTATTTTTTTTTTTCTTTTTTTATTTTGGCAATGAAGACCGATTAGAGTTTGTACAAGAGGGTTACAGTTTTCTTCTAAAACTCTAATACCATGTTAAGAATGATTAAATGTGTATTTTATTAAATATCATGAACCTATATATAGAGATTTTCAATAATAGAAAAAGAAATAAACAATTAATTACATAGACGTATCTTCCTCTAGCTCCCTTTAACCTAATTCTCTTAATTACATATGATATATTCTTTAACAGTAAAAAATGCCTACAAAAGGCCCAGTAACTATCAACAACAAATATGAGATAAGGACGAGTTAAGAATTCTTGTTTTAGGGCTTGTTATCTCTCTGTGTCTATTCTTTTTGTCATTATTTTGTCTAATCTAACTTGTTCAATATGCTACTTCCTATGTTTTTTCCTTATCAATGCCCTTTAGTCTGTTTTTATTCTTGACTCTCACCTATTTCCTTATTTCTAGGTTAGTAGAGGAGCTACTTGTCCTACATCAATCAGCATTAAGATATTCTTATAATCTAAATAACATTCTCTAAACCTCAACAAGACTCATCTGTTGCTAGATATTCTCACGGATAAGAATCATTTCAAAACTTGGAGGTCTACAGGAAATCCATAAATGTATTAGGAACATGAGTGCCACCTATGTTTAGGCCAAAACCAACCAAAAAAGAGTAGGAAAAGGAATCAAAACGATAAAAACTACTTTTTAAGATTTGGTTTCTTTTAGTTAATTTTTCTCCGGAAAATGATTGTAATTCTAGCATCTTCTTTGAATTTGTTTACAAACGGCTTTTGTTTCCGAATGGATTAAATTGATTTTCTGTACATTTAAGAGTTTCTGCTAAATCCCAAAGACTGCCCACAATGCGTGAGTCTGACCCAAAAGGAAAAGTACTAGTGAACCTCTGCTCATAGTACTGGTGAATGAGAGATTTGGGTTATTCTGTGTGCATGTCTGTTTTGAGAGAGAGAGAGAGAGAGAGAGAGAGAGAGAACAAACCTATAATAAATAAGCTGCGAAATGATATAGCTCCTAGGAAACTCAGAACCAAAAGAGAGAACACAACCTGCTCCATTTCCAAGAAAGTTTCAGCGGATTAAATACAAACATTATACATCATTTTGCAAATTGAATTGGAAAGTTTCAGCAGATTAATATGTACCCTGTGACAGTCATATAACTATCACGTAATAAAAAGAAAACCAGTAATGTAATAACCAATTCTGCTTGATAAAAAATAAAAGCATTATGGTTTTAACTAACATGACAAAAAAATGCAACAGCAAGTGTACATAAAATACAGAGTGTACATGATCCTATTGTGGTTTTTTCTTTTAAATTTTTTGCATTGGAAAAATAATGAAAATATTATGCTTTATATTTCTTTTTAGAAATTGTTACTCAGACATATTTACTGTCAAAGGACTTCTGTTAATTTATCCAAATAAATAACTCCAAGAATGCAAATAAAGAGTAAGAGATTATGATAAAAACCTTGAGGAATAGAGTCCAATTATTCCCTTTGCAAAGAGATTGTAAAACTTGAACACCAGTATTCCATGAAGAGGCCACTGATAGAGCAAATTGGTGTGATGAATCTTCTGATAAGTGGAAATGAGAGATGGGAATTTTCTCAATTGTATATCCAAATCTGCACCAGTATCAAATTTTGTCATAAAACAGAAATTACGAACTCCATACTTCAATTTACTTCTGCTAAGTGGGACAATTTATAATTCAGTTTTCTTTTTTCTTTTTAAATAAGTTTATAATTCAGTTTTTAAGAGGATTATCTACCCAAAGAATAAAAAAGCTCAATGATGCTTGCAATCTGAAAGCATCTCATTTTTTATAGAGCCAGGACCAATATCAAGATACTTTTATGTATCCTTCATTGATACACCTAGTGTTAAATGAAACTACACAAAATTGACAATTTCTCTAGGTCGAGAACCAAAGGAACCAATTTGGATTTGTTTTTAGAAGAAAGTTTTTGGTAATTTGTTAGACAGATACATTTATCAAATAGGACTAGACGTTAGGTTAAATAAGAGCTCTACAACTTTACGAGAAAACTGCACTTTCACATATTAATAGTTCAAAGGAGGGATGGCCCACACATACAATTTATCGGGTAAGATGCCATGGATAAACAAGAAGATTGATGTTGCCAAGAGAAGCTTTGAAAATGCAGTAATAATTGTATAACCAGATGCAACAAAGTTATAATAAACTATGATCAAAGCCAATGCTGCTGTCAGAGTCTGCTTTTTGTTCTTCCAGAGAAGCATGTCAGCAACTGCAAAAAGGCATCAGCAATAAGATACAGATGACTGGATTGATACAAATAAATGAATAAAAATAATGTAGTGTTTTCTTCTAAAATGGATAGTGACAGTGACATGTATAGGATGATTTAAATTGTGCCATGTAAGTACTTCTAATGCTGAATCAATAAATCTTATCAGCCAAACCATACTCACTTATGTTATGGCAGAGTAAAACTTACTGCAGAGGTGGTTACAACCAACAATTGGCTGTTTTATTTCAATTTTGTATGTAAAAGGAGGTAGCCTCCCATAAGTATAATATTAAGATTCCTCTGAGATTGACCATTCCTAATCCTCTTTGTGTCATCTCATAGCACCATCTCAGGACAAGTTGGTGGAAACATACCAGTAGGTGGAACTAAATTAGTTTACAGCTTGGCCAAACCCTCTAGGAAAATTTCTGACCCCATTAACCCAATTGGATGATCATTGTTAACCAGTTAATCTTTTTACACCTGTTAATGCATCTTTTAGTTATATGATATTTTTGTTGTAATGGAGTCCACAAACCTACTGATCAAACAGTTGTACAACTCTGAATTCCATTATGTGCTCTATGGATGCAACAGAGCCAAAAAAAAGGCATGATAACATAAAGTAGTGAGGAAGAAATATAGATTCATACTCTGACCACTCCCAAGGCATATCAAAGCTTTAGATGGACCTTCTCTCTTAGGTTGATTTTCAGCTCTCAAGTGTGAATAAGATTCAACTGTCCTCTTTATACCCTCCTGCAGATTAACATATCAAGTTACCCCAAATAAATAATCAATCGTGACTTTACAATTTGTTAATACTTAATAGAAATTCAGAGTATAGTTTTGGTGCCTAGACTAGTTTTCCTGTGAAGCGACTTGAGTTGATGGAACTGCTCATCAGCCAACACTATTAGGCTGATGTAAATGCAATCTTACTTCTAATTGTACTAAATAAAAACTAAAATGATCATTGAACAACATTACGTTACAGATCTTTGTCCTGACCTGTCAATATGTCTGCTTAACAGTGCAACTTTTTTTTAAAAAAATAAAAAGCTGTATATTAACATCGTACCACCCATGTACAAAAGATTTACAATAAAGTTAGTGTCTCAACGACATTCCCAAAATTTTCATGACTAATAATGTCGTGACCTAATAATTCAGTCACCTATCTTTTAACCTAAAACTACTTTCCTCACACTCAAAAACTCTATTATTCATTTCTTTCCATAAAACCTAAAAACTGTTAAAGGGATCACATTAGGATGTCATGAGGACTACCTGTCATTAGATATACTTAACAGTGCAACTTACTCATTAGGAAGGACCATATCTCATGAGGACTACCTCTCAGACAACAATTTTGAACCACAGAGACAGGTCCTCAACCCTCAGAATGTCAGCAGATCTAACATAACATATTTGAAAAAAAAATAAAATATCCCTAAAGAGCTCGTCAATTACCAAAATATCAACCTATTACAACCTTAAACATCATAGAATATCAAGGCAGTAAACGTATCTCCAATCATTTCCAAAAACTTTATAAAACCTGAAGAGACACAATGGGCATATAACCGATCTGATCTTTGGCTTTTGATGAATCAAAAGATCTACTGCAAGAGAGAAGTCTAATTCTTGATGGTGTCAACTGCGGAACCTTCATTCCGTACGGGCCCAACAGCCTATATGTCCATTCTACCAAATGCGCAATTGGCATCATGACAAAGGCAGGGATCTTTATTCTTGGCCTGAAAATCACACCAATCTAGACAGAATGAGAATGAGGAAGAACAGTTGCATAGCCTATCTTATCTACCGTATCAAAGCAAGAAAAAGAAAAGGACTGCAGGTTGGGCCAAGAATCCTCTGTATTGAGCAATATAACCATCAGTCATATTCATCTGAATTGGAAAAAGTGCCAAGTTTATCTGTTATATGTGAAAGTCCAAGTCACACTTACATGTTAAAGGAAAAAGAAAAGAAAGCTATAATTGGGAAGATACAATCATCATTTAAACTTTTGAAGTTTATTTTGCTTAGGGCACACCTTTATTTTCATCATCTCCAGTGAAAAAGTGGAACTCAGAAATTTTAGGGGGAAAAAAAGAGAAGTTCCCCTAAAAAGGGAAAAAAGAGATAAACAGTAGATGTATTACCAATCAGTATGAACACCTAGCATAAAAAATAGCATGAAGTAGCAAGAAAGGAGGTAAACATATCCAGAGCTAGATACATGCATATGAATCGAAAGGGGAAAGAAATAGAAGACCTCTCAAATCCAAGTCCTTCAAGAATTTGTGAGACAAACTCCCAAAACTTAATTGGCTCCATATTCGTAAGAAAAAAAGCCTGCATGAGAGAGAATAGTATGCCTGTCAACTAAATTGTTCAATACAGGTAGAGAATATATATCTCTTAGCTCTAAATATGCCAATTATATTGCATTCAAAAACCAAGTCTTTTAGAATATCCAATATAATTTTCAGATACAGTAATAATCATTGTTTCATTAGAAATGTAAAGAGTTCAAAAGAATATGCAAGTGACTAAAATTAGTACTGCCCTGCAGCTTCTCTGATACTATGCCATCTGAAGCGAGAGCTCTTTCAGCACATATATGGGCATGTGCCACATTTTGAACGTAAGTAAAATCATAAATATTATTTCCATCACCTATTATAAACTGCCATTAAAACATAAAATAGTACAAATGAGTTTTTTTTTAGGAAAAGGATCTATGAACAAAATATAAAGTGGGTATCCATGGACCCACAACATTTACAATAATATATGTATTCTAGATGTTAGCATCATACTCAGAGGAGTGCTTACAGAACATTGAAGTTTTAAAGTGCAGTTTAAGAATAAATTATTTAATAAACATATTTGACTATAAATAAAGCTAAATGGTGAAAGATTTCACAAGACCAACAACAAGTTGCTGATATAAGCTCCTTTAACTATGGAGTTCATAACCATGCAAAAGACATGCTAATTATGTTACCAACAAAAATTCGAGTAACTATTCTATGCCCACCATTTCGGTTACCATATGTCACCTAAGGAATAAACTTTATCTGAAACTTCAGAAGAAAAGTCATCACTTTTACTGGTCAATAAAGAAAATGCGAACACATTGAAATAACAGAAATAGAACCCAATGTTAGAATGCATCGGCAGAGTTGCAATATGTGAATCCTTCAGAATAGTTCTTTCCGTTGATAAAACTTCAGACATATTGATAGAGATTAGACCATTTTTAGAAAAAGATCGCCGTTCTTACCAATGAATAAAGAAAATGTGAAAACATTGAAATGATAGAGATAGAACCAAATGTTAGAATGCATCGGCAGAGATGCAATTTCTGAATCCTTGAGAATGGTTCTTTTTCATTGATAAAACTGGTCATGTATATTGACAGAGAATACACAACCCCAAGATTTGACATGACTTATAGGATTCAAGGCAGAATGGTCTAATGATCATCTGATAAACACTAGAGAGTTCCAACAAGCTCTGATGATCTTAAATTTTGATAATTATGACAGAGTTAAAGACATTAGGATAATTAACACAATAGACTAAGGAAGTTTGTTTAAGACTATAACTAAAAAGGAGAAAAGAAACGAACTGAACAAAGAGTGAATATGTGCCTTAGATTTCCCAGCCCTTGCTGCAGCAACCAAAGATGGAACTAATAGCTTATCACCAGGACCAAAAATGCCACTAGGTCGTAAGCAGCAAGTTAGGAGCCCATTAATACCATTCGACTTGATAACCAGTGTCTCTCCTTCAGCTTTGGTAGTAGAATATGAATCATAGTGCTGAAACAGTAGGCAAAAATAAAATTAAAAAGAATAAAAAGAAACGTGGTAACAATCTTAATGTCACTAGTGAAGGAAGATATTGAGAATTGGTAGTCTTGTTCTTTATTTAAGAAGATGTTGAATTGATAGTTAT